CCAAATTTATTTCTTCAGAATTTTCTCAGCCTGTTGCCTGTTTTAAATGGAACATTGTTGAGCAAATAAGGAAGGAAAAAAACAACGGTGTCTGCTACAAACATACTTTAATCACAGTGTTCTGTCTGGACCCAGTTTTGGCCACCTTCTTTGGAAGAAGTCAAGTCCGTGCTTGTAGACAGAGCAAGACTGGAGGCAGACTTGGAAATGATTCAGACTAAATTCTAAAATTCCCCTCTTTCTGTAATGGAGTGATTAATTAACCGGTTAACATGTCGTCGCTGTGAGAACAAAACCTCATATCTCTGAAAAAGTAACTTTACAGGAGAAGGCAAGAACTTTTCTAACTTTCAGTGTAAGTTAATGGAACAAGGTTGTATTGTAAGTCATTTTAAACCATTTTTACTGGTCTGTTCATCATGAAATTTTGACACAACATGAACAGCAGATGACACTTTAAAATTGTGTTGACACATAAAAAACACTAAAAAGTTTTGTTCCCACAGTGACAATATGCAAATTAAATTTAAAAAAAAATCAACAGAATTCCCCTTTAAGTAAACAAGAAATCAACTTTTTCTGCAGCTCATGTTGTCGACCATTCGCAGCCCTAACATATCAACCAAGCCTTAATGTATCTGCTGCTCTGTTTCTGGTCTGAAAGGAGAGGTTCACGTCTGCACCTGTTGGGCACGGAGCCTTTTGAAGCTCCGCAGCTTGAAAGTTTTGTCGTTGTTGGAGAACATGGCTTTAAAAGTGTGGCGTGTCATGTCAGGCTCTACAATAGGGGCTCATTGTGAGTGTGCAGCGTGCCTTTTCGCCTCGCTAAAGTGTGCGAGATGGGAGTTGAAAAGGAAAGCCCTCGGGCTTCGGTTTGATTCCAAACAAGTGACGTGCACAGGCAGGATATTCTGTTGTCACTTGCAGCCCTGCGGCTGCAAGCTTTTCCGTGTTTTTCTCTCTCTCTCTCTGCTGCATTGGCCTGGTTCTTTCCTTCAATAATCATTTATTTTTAAGAGGATGGATTGTTTTTTTTCACCCCCTCCACTCCTTTCCTCTCCTCTCTTTTAACCACTGTCACTGGGTTTATCCACATGTTGACAATTTAATGGTTTTTCCATGTGTTGTTGTGATGGGTGTCGGGCGGAGATCAAAGGAAGGTGTGACGGCTGAGAGGAGCGATGAAGATGAAGTTATACGCCCCCGGCCCCCCCACCCAGCCCCATTTACTCCAACTTACTACATCACACTGACACACTTGGAAAACTACTCGACGAAAGAAACGGCACCAATATGTCAGAACACAGTCCTTGCCGGTTATTACTGTTATTAAAACCACCCTGAAAATAATTGTTCAGCTGTGATGCCAGAATAATTTATACTCTCTGGCTCAGTGGTTTGGGGGTAAAGTGATCATGTGATCAAAGTGATTTTTGAAAAAAGCCTCAAATGTCTCATGTGTCTAGATCAGAGTGCACAGTGAGATTGACAGGCCTTTAATTAATGTCCTGGTCAAAGGGAACACACCCACCCTCTATCCCTCCCTCTTCCTTTCCCTCTCTTTTCTCCTCCACTCTCTCCATCTCTCCTGGTGGTGCCAATGTGGGGCGCCCGGTGTTTCGGGGTGGTTTATTAACGGCTCGGCTGGTTAGCTCAGGCTAAAGAGGGCAATTAGCATTATCCTCAGCCATATGCTGCCCATTGAGCCCTGAGGGCGAGTCAAAGCCCCAAAACCGTCCCAACGTTACACCACCAGGGGACTTCCACCGGCCCGGGCCACATGTGTGAGAGCACGCAAAACCCGCATGGGCCTGCTGACGCTGACAGCCAATCACATGGCTCCGTTAGTGCCGCCTCAGCAAGGTACCCAGCCACGTCCTGCTGGATAAGCTGTCTTGGGCTTTAGATGCAGATGATGCACGAGGGCTGGAGGTATTTACGTGCCAGTGAGTTTGAGTGTAATACCGCAAGTGACAATTATTTCTGTAATCAACCAACGTGTCAGCTGTTATTTGAAACTGGTTTGGTTTCTTCTGTGCAACAAGCGATTTCTGCTCGTCTTTTATGGTGCAGCAAAACAACAGAAGCCATATCACCCCCTGTACTTCTTGTAATGTATTACAATTCATCCATTACTATGGATCATATGAGTATTATAACTTTTTGTTGAAAAGTCAACGTGAATCAAGAGAAATAATAATTTTTTTTCCTATTTTGCCGTTTTTTTCAAAGTGGAACACAGTATCATCTCTAAACTAGCTGAGTGTTTTCTCTTGATGATGGGGTTGAGGTGAGAGAGTGAGGTGTATTATTGGTTGATAAATGGTGTGTATATAATTAATAGCTTTAATAGTGTTCAATATGATAAGATACATGAGCTAACAAGGTGAAAAAGGTCAGTTTTGGTTTCGGGTTGACCAAGTAAGTGATGAGTTTTTTCATAACCAAAACCACTGACAACTAGTTAACAGATTATTGCAGCTCTAATCTGCTGGCCAGCCTTTTTTCTGATTTCCCACCAAAAACAGGCATTTTTTAACTTTACAGAGCATTGCTGAGCACTTATATGGCTCTCTAGAGCATTATAAAGCCCTTTTGTATTCAAGTAAACACAGCTTTTTCTGTAATAAACATTGTCAAATACTAATCAACTCATTTTTGCAGGTCCTTGTATGTTCTATGGAAAGAGGCCTTTATGAACCTCACAGAGAGAACTTCTGTTTTTAAGTTAACAACCTGCCACCTTTTTTCCATAATTCACATGATTGACTGCTAATTTACTCATTTTTGCAGCTGTAATTTGTTGGCTGGTGTTTTTCTGGTCTGAAAGTTGGTCCTGTTGAAAGAGGCCTTTATGAAGATCATAGAGCAGTAAAGAGAACTTTTGTTTTTGCAGCCCCATTGTACCAGCCGGTCTTTTTTTCTGGTCCAGTCAAAAGGAGGACACCAGGGTTTCATTTGAGATAATTCAAGTTCCGTCTCTGCCACTGCTGATGACGCGCGTTGGTTGAGACGTCTTCCACAACGTCAAATTGAACGGCAGGTCTCTCTCTCTCTCAGCTTGAAACACATCGAGCCAAATGCTCCAGCTTGGCCGATAGAGTCACCTTGCCCATCTGGTTCATGTTATGCTGATTGGTTTTCACTAACATGGAGATGCAATCAGCCCCTTGTGCAGCAAGTGAACAGAGAGGACGCTGATGTTGTGGCTGGACTGAGTTACGGCTGTCCCGCGTAATGATGGATAATGAGAGAGACTCTGTCTTTCGGCAGCGGCTGCTCTTAGCTTTTCCTTCTCTTTCCACTCTTCTTTCCTGTTTCGATCAGTTCTGTTCTTCTCTCCTTCACTCGCCCTCTTTTTTTCTCTCTCTCTCTCTCCCCCTCTCTCTCTCTCTGTGGCGTGGGGCACTGGTTTGGCCCCATCTGGAGTAGATGAAGTCAGAGAGCCACATTATTGGGCTCTGGGCTTTGATCCTCCTCTTCTGGGACGGGCAGTGCTGCAGCTGCAACCACTGCACTGACCCCACAGTGCCCAAAATACACTCACATGCGTATGGTACATGCATGAACACACACATGGTCGCCAACATATCAAAGACTTGCATCACCAAAATGGAGCAAAAGCCCAAGTTTTATGTATGTTGATGTGTAATTGTATGAAAAAATTGAACAGCCTCTGCAAAGTTATGGCACATTTAATATTGTTCATGTTTTTCCAATATGTTAAACTCAGCAAATAAATAGAAATTTGCAGAAAAAAGTGATATTAAAGTTTGTTCTCTGTCTTGTCACTTACAAAATCAACAAAACATGACATTTTTCTGTAAATTTCTATTTATTTGCTGAATTTAACATTGGAAAAACATGTAAAATATAAAATGTACCTTAACTTTTGCAGAGGCCTCCTTTTATAATTTACCCCCATTTATTTTGTTTTTATTTTGTTTTTTCATTTATTAAAGTTGGCTGGGTTTTTTTGCATTATCTCTAAAACTGTGACTATAGATTGCGCATGCTTGAAGAGACTTTCTGCTTCTGTTATTTTGCTGTTTTCCTTGTATTGAGCAGGATATTGTGTTTGTGATATTAAGCCTGTAGTGGAGAAGTTCTTAGTTGTTGAACCCTCTCTTGACACTCGACATAAACAGAGATTACAGATCTCTTCTGTAACGTCCTTTGTAGAAACAGTGAAATAGGTGTCACATCTCTGTTGATCTGCTGATGCTTAAACTGTTTGAACATCCCATTTCTGACCAGCACAGTGAGCAAAGGAAGCAAACACTGTTTAAATCACTGTTTCTCATTTTCGTTACAGTTACAATCATTTGTATATATTTGGACACGTTGCAGTAGACCTACTAATCTTTGGGGGGGGTTTTGCGGGGGCGGGTGGAATATTCCGGACTGAAAATGGCAAAAAATGCTTTTTCGGTGCATCACTAATACATGCACATATACTTGCAGTAGCATGCAAAAGTTGGGCGCCGCTGTTCAGATCACATTTTGGTAATTTCCTAAGACTTTTGCATACGACTGTACAAACTTAGTTAATTGCATAAACAGTCAACACGTAAACACAGACAGTTTCTATTGTGTATTGTGAGAGTGCTGATCAGCGCTAGTATTTCACAATTAAGCTCCAGGATGCATACGCCCACACATCCGCTTACAGACAGGCCTCAAAGATAATCCTCTTCTTTTTATACACCACTTCCAAATTAGCCATCTGTTACATGATACAATTTGTGTATTTACCTTGTGCGATATTGTTGGTCATTTTGTTTTGTTGTCTTTTTTTTCATGGAAAGGCTAAATCAGAATTAAGTCTTCCATATATATGTATATTCTTAATGATGTAAACTAAGAAGCCATTCTTAGTTTTGTTTGGGTTTTTTTCTGACCAATCTGTCCTTCTTGGTCACGTGTGAAAAAGATTCAAGTAGAAATTGTAATTTATTACACATTGTCCTGACAGTAGCTCCTCTTTTCTCTCTCTGTAGGTGTACGCACCATCCCCAAACTCAGATGACTTCAACAGAGATTCTCCTTCCTATCCTTCGTCCAAACCCCCCAGCAGTATGTTTGCAAGCACTTTCTTCGGTGAGTGGGCACCATTCCTTTTTTTTCCCTATTTAAATGTTTATTGGAAAAATATATGGTTTCCACTGACATCATCTGCTCAGGGAAAACTTTTTTTGTGCATTTAAGTCTTTAAGAATGTGGGAGCATGGCTTTACTCAGCATCAGCAAGATCTGACTATCGGTCAGTTTTCATTCATGCAGTTAGAAATGTTACAGATGTGTCTGAAACAGGTCCTTGTCTGAATTTCTTTGTCTTTAAAACCTATTACTCAGCTAATTCAACCCAAGATTCTCTCAGACAGTGACCTAAACCATATTGGCATCTATACATAATAAAAAATGACTAAAACATGTAATAGTTTTTGTCACAGAAGAATAAAAAAGCACGTCTGTGCATGTGTGTATAGACAATGTTCAAAAGTTTAAAACATGGAATAAAAAAGGTGGGTAAATATATTGGGTAAAATGGACTGAATATGTCGCTCCCATTCAGCCTAATGTAATTTTCTGTAGATTACTGAGGATTTACACAGACACTTCTCTCACATATCTTATATAGTTTTAGGAAACAACCAGGCCCAGCTGGCTGGGTCCAAACTTTTATTAAACACTATTATATCTTAAGAATAACTTGTCCAGTTTGAACTTTAGTTTGCAGTTACCGAATAATACACTTCACAGTTTAGTAAGGCTGGGATTTTAAGGGGTTAATGACGGTCCAGAAGAATGCAACTCTGATTTGTTTATGTTGTTGTGTTGTTTCCTTAATCAGACGGGACCCACAATTCCTCTGACCCGTGGAACTCGTCCAATGGGATCAGCCAGCCCGGTTATGGGGGAATGCTGGGAGGATCTTCATCTCACATGCCACAGTCTGGAAACTACAGCAGTCTGCACTCGCATGACCGCCTGGTGAGAAAACACACACCCTACCTGCACTTATAAGACCAGTGAATATGTACATCACACAACTATGAGATGAGAAAAATGGGTGTGGTTGGTAGTATCAGATCCACACTCCAGCCCCACATACCATCCACACTCCAGCCCCACATACCATCCACCTTTACAGAATATTATTTCCTTAATTCATACCTTTATGACTGAAAGGAAGGGAGATGCTTGTGAAGTGCATTTTGACAGCCTACAACTTGGTCAAAAGCTGAGAATCGTAGGAGAGTGCTGAAGTTCACACCTCTCCAGGTTCTCACCTCCGTCGCTCAATGCAGGTTTGTTTAAAGAGCAACAGCAATGACTTTTTGCCACATCTCCATTTTTCCTTTTCCTTCTAGCAGATTAATCATTGCTGGTAGTCGTGACGTAACCATGAGTGGATCAGCCACGGAAAGGTGCTGTCAGCACAGTCGCTACAGTAACTAGTCAAGCATGATGATGGCTAAGTTACCAACAGCATGGTAGAAATAATAATGACTGTTTGTAGGACCATGAACACTCAAAGAGCCATTTGAATGATTAAGTGGTTACTTGCATGGCTAAGTGGTTCCTATCTTTTGTGGAAAACCTGTTGTATATGGCTCTTTTAAAATGGTTCTGTATAAAGGGTCCATAATGGGCTCAAAAGTCAAAACCTTTTTTGGTACTATATAAAATCTAGGAGTGCTACCTAGCTAAGCTAGTAATCTACAATCAACAGAACACATCACAAAGTGCCAGATCGTGTTTTTCCGTTAGTCTTGCTCTAAATCGTTTGTGTGTGTGTTTTGTGTGTATTACAGAACTACCCCCCACACTCAGTGTCCCCCACAGACATCAACCCCAGCCTGCCGCCCATGTCCAGCTTCCACCGCAGCGCCGCCAGCAGCTCGCCCTTCGTCACTGCCTCGCACACCCCGCCCGTCAACACCACAGAGGGAGTCATGGGTAAGACACACACAAAAAAGCAGTAACAAAACCAAAAGAGGTGGAGCACACGCTGCTGAAACCCACGAAGGGCTTGGACTTGGGACTTGGTTTATTTTTGTTTGGCAGTTATTTTGGGCATTTGTCATTTAGCCAAACTTTCTTTATAACCAGAAGATGTGCATGTGCTGAGATACAGTGGACAGATCTTTCTTCTTCATCGTAGAAATCAAGACCAAGAAATAATACACAGAGAAAGATGAATGAAGAGAAACACACACATATATATATAAAACAAAACCTCGTATCTCCATTTTTGCCGTTTTCCAGTTTTTGACATAATTTGTAAATGCCTGTTGCTCCTCACATTGCGTTGAAATTTCATGATGAATGGACCAAAAGAAACGACCCAATATTACTTGGAAAAGGTCTGGTTCCATTGACTTAAATGAAAAGTAAAGTATGTTTTTCCTTCTCCTGTAAAGTTACCATTTTGGAGATACGAGGTTTTGTTCCAACAACAGCGATATATAAAGAAAGGTAGACACAGAGAGAGAATGGTGAGCAGATGGAGGGATACAGAAAGAAGGAAGTAGGTAGACAAATAGAGATGGACAGATAGAGATAGAGATGAATAGGGGGATGGTGGATCAAGAGATAGACCAGGAGAGAGAGAAATAAACAGACAGGCACTCAGACAGATGAATTAATAATTGATTGATTTTAAGTTACAGTGGTGAGATCATTCTTCTTAGGAATAACATTTATGATGTAAAATTATACTACAGAAATAAAGAGATTGAAACCTAGATGGAAAGAAATATATATAGACAGGAATAGAAATTTTGGCAGGTTACAGTTGCTTGTTAAAGGACTGTACAAAAATACATGTATTTTAATTCACAGAATTTACCAGACTTATAATAGCCTTGACATTGTGTGTTTGCAAACATGCTTGTATTAAACGATATGGAGTGTCTTGTCTCATTACGGCCAGTGAAGATGTTCTGATTTGAGTTTTGTGTTGTTGGTGTCTCTGTAGCTGCTGCCAACAGAGGGAACGCCACTGGAAGTTCTCAGACTGGAGATGCGCTGGGGAAAGCCCTCGCTTCGGTAAGCCCACTGTTCAAACTGTCGATTTCCAATGCCTCACATTCGTAAGATACAGATCCGTGTGTGTTTGTATGTCTGTTTTGGACTCTAGATGAGATTAACATGTCGTGATGTGTGATTTGAAGGGTAAACCTGCTCTGTGTTGGCTGCAGCTGCTGTGCTGGCTCTAATAATCGGCAAGTTACCAGTGTGCGTGGAGCACTTTGGATTACTGAGCTTGGTGAATATAATGGCATAGTTAAGTCTTTAGAAGAGAAGACTTGTGCTCTTAGGATGAGTATTAGCGACAGCGCTGAAGGCTGGCGAGATTGAATAAGGTCAGGGGATGTGTTTGTGGATGTGTTTTTAGACCTAAGTCTGGATAATTGTGCTCTTAATCTCGCAATATACAAGGAAAGGAGCTGTACATGAAAACCGCCCCAAAGCCTATGGATTATATGTCGCTCTGGATAATGAACTCGGCGCATTTGTGCCAGTTTCTAATGTGGCTGCCTCGAACTCCAGCTCACAATGACCTCTTGGATGGGTTTTGCTTACAGTAGCGCTGTAATTTTTTATCTTAGGGAGCTGCGTTATGCAAGTCAGAGTACAATATTTTACAGTAAGGCCTTTTTCATAGCACATCTGGGCCCATTCTGCACTCGTCTGTTCCATTCTGCTCTCTGCATAGAGCTGGGTGGTACTGATAAAATTCAGTATGATTCAGTGTGAGTTTTTTTTCCCTGAGGTCAACTTGCCGGTTTACATTTATCCTCCAAAAACAGTCATAAATCATTTTTACGGACCTTCTTTTTCACAACCTCTTAGAATCAAACAGGCTGTTTTTGTTACTGTACCTTTAAGAGGGATGTATGTAAATGACCTCTGTTCTGATTGGCTGTCCTGTATTGTGCCTCATTCAAAAAGCAGTCCAGCCTGAAAACATCCCTTAAAACTTCACTGTGACTGGGTGGGGCTAAACTGCTATAGGCTGCATTGGAGGATTTATGTAAATATGTTGTTTTTTTGACATCACATTTAACAGTTAATCTAAAACAAGCTTAATGTACATACATGGATTGTATGGAATGGAGAGTGAACATACCTTTAGACACATTAACATTGTTTACATACATCAGAAGGACGGTTCAGTTGTACATGCAGTGTTTTTTCCCAAATTATTTTTGGCCCATTCATCATGAAATTTACATATAATGTAAAGGGCAACAGGCATTTTCAAACTATGTCAAAAACTGAAACACGACAAAAGTGGAGATGCAAGGTTTTGTTCCGACAGCAGTGATATATTAATAGTTGTACGTCGCTGTTGTCAGAAGAAAACCTCACCTTTAAAAATACCTGATGCCCTTTACATTGTGTGTAAATTTCCTGATGAATGGACTAAAAGAAATGACCCAAAATTACTTGAGAAACAAGTCTGGTTCCATTGATTTACTTTAAAAGAAGTTTTTTCCTTCTCCCTGTAAAGTTATCATTTTGGAGATACAAGGTTTTCTTCCGACAACAGAGATATGCATGGGTGTGTAAACAAGTGGCAGTGCAATATGTAATATTTATGGATGTATAAACGAAGTGGCAGTGCATTATGCAATATGTACAGATGTATAAACAAAGTGGCAGTGCATAGTAATGCGTAGAGAGATATGATGACCAGTTGGTGCTCAGTGAGCCTGTCCTGTCAGTAGCTCGGTGTGCGATAGACAGGACAGGCTCACTGAGCACCAACTGGACATTATAGTTTTATAACATTATAGTACATTAACATTTTAACCTTATAGTTTTATAACATTATATTTTAAACTGTTCTTTAAATAAATAACTTGTGACACTATGTTGTTGTCTAACATTGTTGGTATAGCTTATATATCACTTGTACTGTTACTGCCCTTCAGTTCATCTCCCACACACATCAATAAGGACCTGTTCTTTTAGCCATCATCTTTTACCCCCCTGATATTGAACAGCGTCTGCACTCTTCACTCCTGAGAAATTAAAAGCCTAATTGTGCCTCTTTGATAGAAGAGGGCGGAGATAGAAAAAATGTAATAAGATCGCGTCGGGTGAAGAAGGCCCACAAGTGCGCACCACGGAGCGTACGCTGCACACACACACAGCTAGAAAATTGTGGGGCTGAACGATAATCACAAATTAAGTCTTTTTGTATGCGTAGACTCAATTCCATTAGCATGACAAAGCAGCAGTGAAACGGACACGGTGGGGTTTGGGTGAGGCGCGGGCCGAGAGGGGCTTTGGGAGGGGCTGGCTGAGGGGGCCTCATCCCGCCGCGCCACACATTGTGCCCCTTTTGTTGGCGCTCCTTTTTGACGGGACGTGCTTATTGGCCCCCCGCTGGCGGAGAGCAGCGTGACTGATGAGGGGGCGGGGCTGGGTTTGTTGTTGGTAAAATGAGCGCTGTTAGAGCGTGAACGCGGCAGAAGTTGGCCTGGGATGATCTCAACGGGGCGGGCCGCTGACCCTTCAGGTCAGGAGTCACACACACATGCTCAGGTCCATCAGGGCCTTTGTTTGTTTTACAGCTTAAGTTCAGTGCACAACTAGTGTGGTGTCATTTGCTACTGAAGTGACTTTAAAGAATAAGAGCACCCAGTGACCAGTTCAACTTCAAATGAGTATTTCTGAAAAAAAAAAAATTCAGTGTATATAGCGATACATGGACAAAACCTCGCATCTCCAAAATGATAACTTTACGGAAGGATAAAACACACTTTGCTTTTAATGTAAGTCAGTGGAACCAGACTTTTTTCCAAGTAATTTTAGGCCATTTCTTTTGGTCCACTCATCACGAAATTTACACACAATGTAAAGGACAACAGGCATGTTTTTTTTTTTTCCAGAAATTGCCATTTTCTGCCAACAAGAAAAACTTAAGAACAACTCAGTAGCAAGTGGCTCAGCAATAGTTGTGCTGTGATGCAATTAAAAAAAAATTACACATATTTATTTATATATATATATATATAAATAAATATAACTGCATCACAGCACAATTATTGTTGAGCCATTTGCTACTGAGTTGTTCTTAAGTCTTTCTTTTTGGCAGAAAATGGCAATTTCTGGAAAAAAAATACATTAAAAAAACTTTTAAAGGTTGATTTTAATACAGAAATCAAGCATTTCTGAAAAGATTTCATATTCCTAGAAAAAAATCATATTTCTGAAAAAATACTGTTGCATGCTGTCCTATTTTACGGCTTGAGTTTAGTTTGCTTAGTGTTCGGTCACTTGCTTCTGAGCTGACCATTTCCTAGATAAATGATAAATGTTTGTTTGTTTACCAAAACATGAATCTTGCCAGGAAAAAACAATAGATATTTCTGTAAAAAATTGGCATTTCTGAAATGAACTTTCACATATTGTTAAAAACTGTTTGTTTAGTTAAAAAAAGGAATATTTCCTGAAAAGTACTTTCACATAATCTTGGCTTCTGTTTGTTATTACGTCAGTTCAACTAGTGTTGGGTCACTTTCTGCTGAGCTGACCTTAAAGAATAAGTGCACCCACTGACCATGTTCTGTTCCAAATGGACATTTCCTAAAGATGACTGTTTCTTTCTCTGTCTGTGTCTTTTCATTGTAAGTTCTATCAGAGTTGCATTTTCCTCAATTAGCTTGAACATCTCCCCTGAATATGAATTCAAACGCGTAAATTTCAGCTTAGAATGACCGTCTGTGTGGAAGAATAGTTACTCTGTGTCTTAGCAGGAAAGTAGGGGGTAAATCACTTTCTCTCTTTCGCTCTCTCTCATCCTGCTGTCTGCTCTCTCTCTCTCTCTCTCTCTCTCTCTCTCTTTCACATCGGTACTCTCTCTCCCCTTCTCCCTCCCTTCCTCACTTTGCTCTCACAGAGAGATGCACTTGCTAAGCCTCGGGCGGGATTTGCAGAGTTGATTGAAACACAAAAGTGAGGCATTCAGGATTTAATAAGAAGATTAATAATGATAGTAACAGCGTTTTGATGTGTTTTTGAAAGTCAAATGAGCTCGGTGATCCCGCCGCAAGAGATGTCCTGAAACTTTAGAGCCGTTTAGAGCCAAATCCTGCCAGATCTGCATCGTGTCCATTCTAATTAGTAGGAATCAAACCCTAATACTCCACCAAGCCCCCACAGCATTTTCCATTGCAGGAATCAAAGCTCGCTGTAGGGGGGCCCGGGAGGGGGAGAGAAAGAAAAAGAACATAATGTGTGCTTATGCAGCATTTGTCTAAACAAAACGAATCATGCTCTGGAAGTTCCTAAGATGTAATCTCTGTGTTTAAAGCGATAGTTTGGCAAAGAGTCAAATTTAATTATGCCCTACTCCAAATACAGCTGATCAGGCAAGACGTTTGGTGTACGAAGTTCGCTTCTATAGCTTCCTGGTGCTAATGTAGCTAAGAAGTAGTGGTAACCACCATTTATCATCATGCTAACTTGGTAATCTCAAATAGACTTGCTAGTGTGATTTCTGACAGTAGCTGCTAGTAGCTCTAGTCATAAAAGGCCGATCCAAAGTGAAGGACCCTTCGTATACAGCTTAGAAATGCAGCCTACGTTCTGAGTGATTTCGAGGACACAACTGATGCATCCTTCCAGGCCTGCGGTTACCCACAGTTCTCTGCGCACGAACGACGCAAAGGAAAAAAAAAAACAGCGTAATGAAAATGGCAGAAAACGAAGCCGCTGGAGCAGAGCTTGTTTTAAAATGTAAGCTGTTCACGTCCTTGAATTAGTTTTTTGTTACCTTATTAAGTGTAAAATGATTAAACTATTCGCCTATATATTGTAGTTTAATCAGAGGTATATATATATATATTATATATATATTATATATATATATATATATAGTTGATTGTACCACATAAGCTTGTTGGCGTATTAGCTACCACAGCAGCAAACACAGTGCAACGGGCTCCATTTTCTCTCACTGGTTCCCTCACACGTTTCGCGCTGCAGTTTTAAGAGGCGGGACCTTTGTGGTGATGTCACCACGCAGCCTCGTTAGGACTGTTCCTTTTGTGTGACCAATAGGCTACTAAGGAAGAGTCTTCATAGGACAGTCCTACCTCGGCTGCAGCCTAGGCTTTGGAGCACAGCTACTATCACACACTGTTATCATTAAAGACAGACAGAATTCAGGCTTTAAGGTTGCTGCATCCACTGTTTGTGAATACTGTTTGCACAGCTGAAGCATAGAGAGAGCTTTTCAAACTCCTGTTAGCGCTCCGGGACAGTTCAGTATGCTTGGAGGAGAACACTAACTGCCAGTTCTGTCAGCTAACAGACACCCACCTTGGCCTGCATTGTGCTGGATGAGGTTAAGAGAGGATCCTTCTGCTCACCCAGAGAGAGAAAGAGAGAGAGAGGACGGTTATGCTGTCTTGGACTCACAGCCACAGATGACAGTGGTATCGAACTCGCAATAGGGCTGATTTTCAGAATATTGAAAAACATCAAAGTGCAAAACTAAAGGACTAAACATGGCTGATCAACCAAGAGAAGTTTTCTGAACTTGCTTTAAGGCGAGTGTCCCCCCCGAGCAGCGTGCAGTACAGTGAAGGTGGGATCGCTGTGCTGTGCTGGGATACAGAGACAGGTCAAATATAGAGTTAGGAAAGCTCTCCCTGTCTGTCTCTCTCTCTCTCTCTCTCTCTCTCTCTCCTCTCTCTCTCCCTCTCTGTGTCTCTCACCTGCCGCTGGTTTAATGTGCTGTGGTGGTCCGGTCCCTGATGCGGCGGTGCTGCTTATTGGGCAGGGGGGCGAGTGAGTGCGCTGCTTTATTACCTCTCATCCATAACAGCAGATGAGACAGGAGCAGAGCAGCAGCCTCACAGCCTCAGAGCCAAACTCATTCACTCTAATGAGCTCCGAAAGAGAGATTAATGAGGGTCTCTCTCTCTCTCTCTCTCTCTCTCTCACTCTCTCTCTCATTTTTGCTGTCTTGTTTCTGGTTCTCCCTCTCCTCTCGTTTGTGTTTTTTCTATTGCATCTTTCTCTTTCTTGTTGCTCTTTTGCATTTCTCTCTCTCTCTCTCTCTCTCTCTCTCTCTCTCTCTGTGTCTCTGTCCTCTGTCCTCTCTCTCTCTCTCTCTCTCTCTCACTGTCTTGCTTTCTGGTTTTCTCCCTCCTCTCTCTCTCTTTTTCTCTCGTTGCGCTCCTTTTTCTTTCTGTCTCCTTTTTTCTCTTTTGCATTTCTCTCTGTCTTTCCCCCTCTTTCTTCTCTTTATCTCTCTCTCTCTCGTTTATTCTCTATTGCATTCTTCTCTCTTTGTTTTTGTCTGTCTCTTTCCCCATCTCTCTCTCTTCTTCCGTTTTTCTCTGACACACTCTAGCTTGGTTTTATATTTTCTCTTTCTTTTTTGTTCTCTTTCTTGCTAGCTTGTTCTCTGGTTCTCTCTCTCTCCTCTGTATCTCGCTCTCTTGTTTTTTTCTCTATTTTATTCCTCTCTCTCTTCTCTCCCTTTCCTATGTGTTATCTTAGATTTTGTCTCATGCTGAAGTGAAATAAATGTGTTCTAATGAAGATGTGAATGTGCTGCAGCTCAGTAAGTGTTAGACACTACAGTTCAGAGAGCCTTTAAAAAAAGAAAAACAAATCAGTGTTTATCTGTGGTGGAGACCTGATCTTTTGTCTGTGTGTTGTGTTTTATGGGATGTGACTCATGGTTGTTGGTGTGCTGTGTGAGACTCCAGAAGGGCAGCAGACCTCTGAGCAGGGCATTCTGGGAAGTGGGGCTGGTGTGCAGGTGTCACGCAGAACGCTGTGTGCAGGAGGTGTCGGTTTTGGGTTTTTTTTCTTCTGCAGCTATTACAAAGGGCGGTGTAGGTTGTTAAAGACCCATATGTATGCTGTGGGCTCTTTTATAGCCTTTCAGCCAGTAAAATCAGCAGAATTGATGAGGCAATTTTGACTGAGGGACGCTAACAGAGACCATAAAGCCAGAGAGGTTGCACGTCAGGTTGCACTTAAAGCGGGTGTTCTGTTTTTACTGATGGATAGTCTCTCTTTCTCTCTCTCTCCCTCTCTCTCTCTCTCTCTCTCTCTCTCTCTTTCTCAAGCCAGGCATACACTGTGTGATTTTTGAAATCCTGTTCTTTGGTGACAGCTCACACCGTACATTTGAATCGCCCATCATGTTTGGCCAAAGCCTGTGATTTATATACACACACTGTATGAAATCACTCGGTCTGACTGACATGACACGGGTGCGCACGCTGCATGTGAAACGCAGCTCTGTCTACAAAGAAGCTGTTTCATTCAAAACAACACACTATGCCTCAGAGTCCCAAACAAAAACATCGGCTGAATCTCAAATGGCTCCCTACTCTCTATAAAGTGCACCACATATTAAAAAAGTTGCTCCTGCACCAAAAAAGTGCATCACATGTCTAATAAATAGCCTTCTGAGATTCAGCCGTGTGTGCACAGTTCCATACTGGACAAACAGCACACTATTTTGGTGTAGAAGCCAGAACTTAGTGCACTGCATAGGAAGCAGGAGCCGTTTGAGATTCAGCGACTGACAAACTGCTACAACAGCTTTGCTAACTTGCGCCACACTCTGCACTGAAGATGAAGAGCAGGCAGTCTACACACAGCTCTACGAAGACAGAATCACTGTATTTATTTATACCTCGCAATTCAACCGCAACTTGCCACAGGATCGGTGGCTGTGATTGTGTGTTTTTTTGGGTGCGACTTTGAGAAATCAGTTCGTGAGGCTGCTCAGACTGTGAGACAAGCGACCAAAATTTCTGACATGTAACAAATCCATCCGATTAGTTAATCAGGCATCGTTTCTCTTCTCACACTGCACGACGGCCACTGATACTGAAATTCAGCCCGATCATGAAATTTAGTCGGTTCTGACCAAATCTGGCTTAAAAACGGGCTAAAATCGCACAGTGCATGCTGGGTTAAGTGACCCATATATGGTCCGCCTACATATCCTTTGACTGTTGTCAGGTGGGACAAGCTTCACACAACACTGTCAAACATCCCATTCAACCTAAGTTGGTGTTTAGATTTGCTACGTAACATTGAGTTTGCTGTTTAAAATGCTACACTGCCGAGCTGTGTTGATGTAGCTACTCGAAGCTATTTAGGTTGAAAACGACGTTTTGATTAAATCATAGTTGTCTGCTACAATTTATCGTTAGGTTGAATGGGATTTTTGCCAACATTAAATTGTAAAGTTTGGCCAGCCTAGCGGCAGTTGGACATTTGTGGGGTGAGCATGGTTAGATCAGTCAGTTAGTTTAATTAAAGAGACATAATCTTGAAACAAACATCTGGGTACAACTATGAAAAATGTGGGGCTGAATATGGATGGGAACGTAGACTTATTAGAGTGGAAACAAACTAAATGTGAACTTTCTGCATGCTTCCTGAAGGCAGAACTCAAAGCAGGGGGCGCTGGTTCGCTTGTTCACATAGTCTGATAGACAGCAAGTCTGTCATTAGTGCATGGATTTAATGTAAGCTCAGCTGAAAATCTCCAGTTAAACATGTAGATGTGTCGTGTGCGAGAAGAGCACATTACATGCAGTAAAAATGAACATTACCTCTTGCAAAAGAAAAACGTTCGTTTAGCTAGCGATAGTGTTTTACTAGCTAACGTGTTCTGCTTGTGTTGATGATGTGTACTCTGATTGTTAAGACGTACTCCAGACGTCTGAACGAGTGTACTGACTGTACTGAGGAGACGTTCCCTTGTTAGTGGATTTTGCTGTAATCCAGAAAGAAGTTTAAAAAGTTTTACCCAAACTTTTATTCTCATTACAAGGTCACGTCTGACACACGAGACTAAATTTAAGATAGCGCTCTCTCTTTTTCTGTCTGTGTAGGTTCTTATTTACATTCTAGATAGCTGTGGACATTGCTGTATCGGCTACAATGTTGCTAAAAGCAAAACATGTTCAGCAGAAATAATAGTGATTATAGTGTTAATAACAAGTATAATAATAACAATCTCTTTCTCTCTCTCTCTCTCTTTCTCAGATTTACTCTCCGGACCACACCAGCAGTAGTTTCCCTTCTAACCCCTCCACGCCTGTGGGCTCCCCCTCTCCTCTGACAGCCCAGGCGGGCGCTGCCTCCGCAGGTACAGTGGTGACAGCCAGCGGCCCCTCAGGAAGGGCAGGTAGAGTCCAGTCTGCCTCTTTGAACTATACACTAACACCTGAACAGCATCATCATCTTCATTCTGCACTCAGCAGCACTCTGTACAACCTCCTCCTCTCATTTACAATCAGCGCTCAGCCCACTGTCTGTTCATCTGCACATTCATTACAGTTATGCACATACATTGGTTTGTCTCTGACTTCAGTTTGATTAGGATTCTTCAGGTGATTCGATTTGATGATTTGCAAATATTTTGATACAATTCATTATCAATTCAGTTCAGAATCATGTTTAGAAATTCACTGAATACACTTTCAGAATAGCCTGAATACTTTTACATTCAGTAATAAATGCACTCATTTCCTTCTAATACTTTACTGTTCAAAAAAGTGTCGCCAAAAATGAGCACGTACATACTTTATTGGATATTATTTTGTATTTGTTTCAGTTGATCATAATAGTCCAACATCTGTGCTGTTGAATTTCCACCGTCAGATTGGTGCACCACGATGCACTGATGTGTTTTTTACACCCCTACCATTTATCTTAGTTGTCTTCTTACATATACCTGTCTGGATCTGTACACGATCACCTCTTTATTCCGTGCTCAGCTCCAAAGAGATGATTTATAATAACATGAAAGGGGCGCTGAAATGGAGATGAACAGCAGTACACTGTGATTTATTGCATATCTGGGCTGTATTGATCTGAGACATCAGAACTGTTCTTTAGGATCACATCTCTCTCTGATCATGTATACTTCTGTAAGGGCTTGTATGATGGACTCTTTCGCCTTCGTTCCCTCTAAGTTGATGGCTGCTCTATTAGTCTCAGGTTAAAGAAAAAGAGAGAGGCGGGGTTTTACTTCCTAGAAGTTTAAAAAAGACTCCATAGATCATAATATAGGAGCAGGGAGGTTTGGTGCACGGGCACTGAGGGAGATAATAGTAGTCACCCACTTGCCAGATGACATTTTCAGATCATTGTAGGTAAAAATGCATCTGTGAAAGGTACTTAAAGGGGGATTTCACAGATTTTTCAGAATTTCTGCGTAATGCAGTGGTTCGGATTTTTTGGTGATAGGAACCAGGGGTTGTGATGTCTACGACACAAATATAATATATATAATATTATTTATATATGTATAAATAAATCACCAGTGAACTTACAAGTGAGTTTTGTGTGTAGTTTTAATAGTGATAAAATATTTGTAAACCTGAAAAAATCCCCTTTAACTGTGTACACCGGCAAGGTGAAGTTATAGGTGAGTGGCCACTAAGTGGCTAGGAAGAGAACAGGCAGGTAAACTGAGCCCAACTCAGAGACCCAGAGTGATTCTGTGAGGGCAGCACTGTGTTGTTTTAGGGAGCAGGCAGTTGTGGTACATGTGTATGTGTGGCGGCGACAGCTGTCTCCGTGTCTGTCCCTATCCTCAGCCTCAGCTGCTGTCCTGCTCTTCACACAGCTGTTCCCCCCCGCAGCCCGGCCCGCAGACCCCTCATTTATTAGCCTGACTGACTGACTGCGAGAGAGAGCGGGGGGAGACAGGGGTGGGTGTATGTGTGTGTGGAGGGACAGAGGAGGGATGACTCAGCTGATGATGCTCATATGGAGGGAACGCTGCTCTCGCCTCCGCCAGCCTTGAGCCCCCTCGGAGAGGGAAACTGTCTCACACACATACAAACACACACACACACTATTTGACCTCTTTATCTCACAAGGCACTTTCCTTCAGATGTCACCTTTAGGTTGTCTCGGCTAATCGATTAATCTCCACAGATCTTTTTCCTAGCTTAGCCCTTCGAACCATCCATATTTCAGTCTGCAGTCCAGCTAATCGTGCGCTGTATGTTTTTGTTTACCGCATACTGTTGCTGTAACTCTGTAGCTGTATTCCTCTCTTCAAATACAGCTTTTAAATGTAAGTTCCTTTGCGGCTCTCTAGACAAAACCGCAGTTATTTCCAGCTACTACTGTGCCGTGAATTTGTTTATCACTGCAGTGCTAAAGTTCCCTCAAAACAAGACTTGGCAGCGAGAGGCCCACCGAGGAGTCTTTCACAGTTGCTCTTACTGGACGATGGTGATGAAAAATAGAAGCTTGTTCTTGTTCACCCTGCCTTCTCGTGAGTTTCTGCTTCTATGGTGGTGTAGAGGTCAGCATGGCGGCCACAGAGCACAGTGTAGTGAGACCATATTCGATAATTTAAGCATTTTTACATTGTACAGTCACAAAACCATGAGCGTGTCCCAGCCAAGCATCTCATTACACAGTAATGTTAAATGCAGAAACTGTGTAATTCGGTTTGAAAGTACCTTTTATTTGTGTTAGCTCTGCTAAGATAATGCTAATGTCCCCTAGCCTGATAATGGATATTGGCCTGTTACATTAGCATCAAGCTAATGATGTTGAATATTTACATCTCATAGTGTCGCTCTAAATTAAATGCATACACTTGAAGCTCAAAACAGACATTTAAATAACATATTCTTTACTTTGTATGTTACAGTGTGGATGTTGACTCTTTCGGTAAAGAATCAAACTCAAAGCTTTCTCTCATAGTAATGGAGACTGTTAGCGATGTGACCAACTGATATAGAATAAGGTCTAAAATTGTTAACGTCAATGAAAAAGAGTTCGCTGAATCGGTCACCAGCACAATTTAATGCTTGCAGTATGTGACGTTGTTTTGTACAGTCCTGTCCATCCGAGTCTGTATGTGGAACACCAGGCTAGTTGAGTGGGCGTATTGGTTCGGGTGGGGAGCGGGCGCTTGCATCATCTGATGCAGAATCAAGCAGCAAATCCTAACAGCCTGTAGAATCACATGACTTTTGTTAGATAGAGCAGAAGCTTCGTTTTTTTCAGGTGGTTAATACAGTGACGAGTAACGCATCGTTGCTGTCGGAACAAAACCTTGCATCTCCATTTTCGTTTTTCAGTTTTTGACATAAATTTGCAAATACGTGTTGCCCTTTATGTTGTGTGTAAATTTTATGGTGAATGGTCCAAAAGAAATGACACAGAATTACTTTGAAAAAAGTCTGGTTCCATTGACTTACATTAAAAGTAAAGTAGGTTTTTTCCTTCTCCTGTAAAGTTACCATTTTGGAGATATGAAGTTTCGTTCCGACAGCAGTGACATGTGAACTGGCAAGGAAAATGCAGTTTTGTGTACTCTCCTTTAAAGTCTTCCAAGTTTATCTTTTGCAGTAAAGTATTTTGTGGTCTTGGAAAGGCTCTGCATGGGTTGTTATGGGTTGTTACTCAGTCATCAAAATTGTTGTTAGATCACTTGATCACTAATATAATTGATAATAAAAACCCGAGCTGTGTCATGTGTTTAGTTGTATTTCTCAAGCCTCTGCCCAAAATCACTACCATATCACACTATTAAGTGGCTTTGCACATTCAGCATGTAGTCAAAGTTTCCTTTCCTTTGTTGTCCTCTCCCTTCCCCTTAGTTTGAAGGGTTTTTTTTTGGTTGTTTTTTGATCAGTGGAGTGCCTATTCTTAGACAGCGGTGCATAATGTGCCATGATGTTATGATTAAGCACAAATGCATCCATCTGTTCCTCAGGATTAATTCTTTAACTGCAGTGTTAGCCATCTCCGTAGCGCGGGCCTGCGCCTCTGCTGCTGGCCAATTAGAGTTTGCTCCACGTGGGGAGCGGTACACATACTCGCGCCCATTTGTCATAGTGGCCGCCGGTAAGAGAGCGGCTTATTAAAACGCAGCACTCTCCTACACACAGACGTACCCACACGGCCCCCTCATTTCCTGCCCCAAAGTCATTTTTAATAGCCGTGTTAATGAAAGTCTGCTTCTCAGGGGTTTTGTGTTTTAAGAAAGAAAATTCCCGCGGAAAAGGTCTGCTTATGGTTTTGGGAGAGTGGATGGCTGGAAAGTTTTTAACTAAACAGTCAGAGTGAGGTAGTGAAGGAGAAGACTTCCTGATGGCGCTGCTGATGAAAGAAGCTTCTCTCCTCTCTTTACGAGAAGCTTTCTAACTATTCAGAAAGAAAACATGCTCTGCTCTGCTCTGTTATACAGTCGTATGCAAAGGTTTGGCCACCCTTGGTCAAATTACATGTTTTGTTGATTTTCTAAATAAAATTAAGTTAACATATTGTCTACAGAGACCACACTTCACACATTTTAATGCACAATTAGTGTTTAGTCGCTGAATTTAAACATATTGAGAAAAAAATAAAACATGAAATGCGCCCTGTGCAGAAGTTATGGCACACTTTATATTTTATGGGTTTTTTTCCCCCCAACATGTTAAACTCAGCACATAAATAGAAACTGTGCTCTTGATGTTGAAGAAAATGCCTTATTTACATTTGTGCTAAAACTACATGTCATTTAAATGGGGGTGTTAAAACTTTTGCATACCACTGAAGCGAGTGATGGACAATATGATTATAGTCAAGGAGGTTTATGAGAGGCTCCCAAGTGGTGCTCCTGTCTAAAGGTTTGGACATATTGTTGAGAGATTGCGAGTTTAAATCCTGACTATGCCAGCAGTCCAGTAGAGCATGATTGGTGCTGTTTAAATGGTACACAGTATGTGAATCGTTAAATAAAAAAATAATTTCACTTATTTTTTGATATTTATTTGTTTTGATATTTATTTTTTGATGGTTATTTGTATTAACATTGTGTGTTTATGCATGGGCTGCTAGGGTTAATAGTGCATTAATGTGAGTATATTATTAACACCACTAATATAATGTAACACCGTTAACTCATTTTACTAGTTTGACCCTTCACACCATCTGTAGTAATGCAGGCTGAAGCCCAGCTGCAGCACGCTGTAAGTTGCTGTAATAGAATCCGTGATTGTAGCTCTCTTATTCAAATACACTTTTTAAATTGATTTTCAAAGTGCCTTCAGCACCTTCATACCATTCAGCACCTTCAGCAGACTACGCTGGAGAGTGATTTTGAGATGGATAAATCAATGAGCAGCAAACTAATAAAAGCATCAGCCAACTGGCGCTCCAGTTCCTCTAGAGAGCCTCTGCTGAAACCAGAAAAAATCTTTCTTTAGGGTCAAATTTTAGCAAATAAATATGATTAATTGTGATTAATTAACACAAAATAATGTGAATGATCACCCCCAGCCCTAGTGTATACACTACATATGTCTATGTATGTCCATACAACTGTGCTATTCAGTGTATAGTTGGTTCATTGTGTTTTTCCAACATACTAAACTTACTAAAAAAATAAATATCATGATGCTAATACATATTGTATATATTGTTTATTCTAAAAACATCTTCAAGTATTGTGATGTTATGTTTTTTTCTATATTGCCCAACACTGTCTATAGTGTAATCAGAGCATGACTCTGCAGTGCTGTAGGCCGGGGCTGGCCCCCTCTATCTGAACTAGTCTGGTTAGGCCGATGAAAGCTCAAGCAAGTAAACTGGCCCCACTGCTCTAATGTAAACAACCTGGGAATTTAGTTTAGGTCAGGATCCATTAGGAATACTTGACCTGTTTCTTTTAGAAACACATATACACACACAGCGGCCCTTGTGTGCGATGCACGACTTCCTGTAGCCGTTTGTTTGCCAATTGGAGAGCAAAAGACATAGTTGGAGAGGGAGAGGGAAGAAAGCTAAAGACACAGTGAGAGGTACGACTGATTTGTGATTAGCAGATGTGAATTCCTTTAGAGTGGTGCTGATTTATGACCAGTCAGAATCAGTACACTTAGACCAAGAGCAGACCCCCGTAATTTACATCCTCATTAGAGTGCTTTCCAATGGCACTGAACACACATATACACGGATGGATAAACACACTCTCATAGCTTACAGGCATGGATAAAAGTAGGGCTGCACGATATGGACATAAACTGCGATGTGAGATGAACATCACAATGATGTTATGTCTCTGACTGGCTGTGCAGCAAGTACAGACTGTTTATGTGTTTATTTTTGCTGTGTGAGCAGAAATCTGAACAAATAGCAAAAAAAAATCATGAATTAGAGAAGCATCTTTTACAGTTATACAAAGTAAAAATAATGAAATGCCAAGACGTACCTGCATCACAACTGCAAGCACATTTTATACGAGGTTTTTTAGAAAAACAGTCATCAATCCCAAAACAGCCTTTTCTGTTTTTTCTGCCTCCAAAAAAAAAGCTCCTTTTTTTAACGGTTAAAAAGCTCCTTAATAGTGATGCAGGTGTTTTGTGACACCAGCCACTACGGCTTCACACGGTTAACACACAGCTCTAGGTGTAAGAATGGTCACTGTGTTTTAAGTGTTTTTACAGGCATTTAGTTCAGGATAGAGTAGTTTTGAGCTGTGCACAGGAGTGTTTTTTTTAGTTAAAGCAATGTCCACACTCTTTTGATCCGTTTAATACGGAAGCTCATCACGATAAAAATACAATTTACCTTTTTTGGTTCCCTAAAGAACCTTTCAGTGGAGGGTTCTTTAAAGAATCGTATTTGTAAATGAAGCATATGAGCGTGAATGCTGTTTTTATAGTTGACAGAACTTCCACATGATGTAAAGGATTGATCCCAATTACACGTTTTAACATAACAATAATATCAGAATATCATATTAGTATCTGCAGATAATTGCTAAAATCTTTTTGGCTGATATTTCAAATCAGTATTTGATTATGTACTTATGTATTTTGATTATGTACGTACTCTGTAAGAGTGTAGGTGATGCTAGACTACAGTGCTGAAATGAATATGTAGTTTTACTGCATTTGCAAACCTATAAAATTGAATTTTATAGTTCTTTGTTTTGCTAATCCAGGTGCATTTAGTACCAAATTCTATAGTATATTTAATGCTTGTGTATTGGCAGACGCATGCCTGAAAAATATTGGAAATTGGCATCGGCCCAAAATCCCCGAATTAGTGCATCTCTACCAAGAACCCTTGTTTTTAAGAGTGAGGTTCAGTCTTTCCTTTGTAATAGATAATATTTAGTGGTGGTGGGGGGGTGTTTACTTGTGCATCTTTAGTGTTTGATCTGTGGATTTTTCAGAGCAGGAGGCTAATGTAGCAAGAAGTGGTGGAGTTTTTACAAGACCTATTGTCTTTTGGACAAAAGGCCAAGACCTGATGTTATGAAAGGATATTGGTTTCACTTTGAGTGTTTCATGTTTCAAGTGCGTGACCTGAATAACTTGAGTTGAAAACCAAAAGCCAACTTCTCATCCTGTCAGGTCTAGAACCTTCCATCTTCTCGGAGCAGTGTTACTGGGTTGGAGTCAGAGGAAGGCTGTCAGGGTCCGAGCTTAAGCCCTTATCAGTGTCCCGCATTGTTCTGGGGGCTTTTTAGCCATGACTTCATTAATGAACGGAAGTAGCGCACGTCCCTCAGTGTCGGTGTGGGTGTTAAAGCCAGCCTCCAAATCCTCTCATGTTGCAGGATGCAGCCCAGTCATAGGAAATGATGCATCTGGACCCCGAGAGGAAAACAGCCCACGTAGAGAATAAGCTGGAACCGAGCAGGATGGGGAAAAATCAGCTTTGGGTTCTTTTGTGAAGTGGTCTGAAGTAGGGGTGTGACTGTCTGACCTCCCAACAATTCGCTTCAGTAATGACTCTCTGGAAAATTGATCAGTGCATCATGAAATCTCAGATTTCACCACAATTCACTTTGATTAGATTACTATGGTATGACTCAATTAAAAAAAAAGCACTGAATTCACAAGTTTGATTCTGGGAACTATTTACTCATTCACAGTGGTGGTGGTACATAAGTACAGTATTAACAATCTGTCTGTCCATCTATCTGCCTAACCATTTGTCTATTTTATTATAAATTTGATCTCTACATTTGAAAACAGCCATACATTTTTATTTTGACTAAAAATGTGTGCATACTTTATGAAATGTTAGCAAAAATGATTATAACATTGCAAAATTCATTCCACCTTTTGGATTTATGCATCATGATACAATTTTTACAGACTGTTGATCAAAATAATTGACAACCCCTCTCTCTCTCTCTCTCTCTCTCTCTCTCTCTCTACCTCTACCTCTACCTCTGTACCTCTCTACCTCTCTCCACCTCTCTCCCCCTCCAGGTACAACCCAGTGGCCTCGCGCGGCCGGACAGACCCCGTCTTCCCCAAATTATGAAAACTCTCTCCACTCGCTGGTAAGTTCCCAGCTCCTGCCCCCCCATCTACCCCACCCCCCCTTGCGCACATACTGAGCACTTTTTAATGGACACTGTGCGAGTGCATGGCTGCTGGAGGGCATGGGGGGCTAGCATTACACGCACATTCCTGCCTGACAAATGTCGGGGTGCGGGGTTGGGGTGGTGCCGCACGGAACAATACCCCATCCCTCGGGGCGTGTCTCCTGCCATCTGTCCGCTCTAGAGCTGGCTGGGTGGGGATTGGCTGGGGCGTGAGTCGGGGGGGGGTAGGGGATTGGTTTGGATGTGAGAGGGGGGTGGGGTACTGGCAGCTGTTGCATTGGAGCATTGCTTCTGGATTCCAGGGCTGACTGGGGGAAAGAGCCTCAACTGGGATCACTTTACGCACACACACAGAGACACGCACATACTCTTACACTCCTGTTTCCCACATCACGCATTCACACCATGGGGTGTGTAGATAAATATTTACACACACACTTTGTGTGCCACCTGCAGTTGCATTTTTGTCTATTGGATGCTTTGGCCGTGTGGTAAGGCCGAATGTGACCCAGTATCGGTATGCTTGTAGCACAGCATATAGAGCGAAATAAAAAGGGTCACATGATAACAGTACTCACAAGTGCCCTAACATTAACAGAAGTGTTAGAGATGGCACAGTACCACCACTTTTGTTCTGATAGCACTACCTATATTCAAACTTGAATATCAGCCCATACAATTCGACATTTCTTCTTTGAAAACTACGTTTTAAAATGAGCTGCTTTAATTGAAGCACTTTCCTTAAAGCACCATTGAATTGAATTAATTTAGAGTGATTTGATTTGAAACACTGTTCTCGATAAACTTTGTCAGAATTGTTGACGTGTTGGTGATAGAAACCACCTTATAAAAAGGTGTTACGTGATAGGGCTGCACTGTCTGATGCCTGAGACAACGTTTTATGACAGTTTTGGAAAGATCAGAGAAGCACATTGATTGACACATTCATAGCGGAGTTGTACGTGTAGGATGTTTAATGGAACATAGTCCGCAAATAAAACTATTTTTTTCAAGATTCACCTCTGTTTTACCACCATCAGCCTAACCTTAAAAACTCAAACACATGTAGGTTCGCGACTCATTTTGGATAGAAGTAAAATGGCGTGGCGTAAAATTTGTGATGTGACCTCTGGTTCCTTTCAGCACCACTTGAAAGAAATCGGAGTCAATACATTTCTCTTTAATGCGCCATTTTATATCAAAACGCTCAGAATTATGTTGTTTTCATTTCAACCATTGAATTATGCAGGATTTTAAAAAATGGTGGAATTCTCCTTTAAGATGAGCAATATAAAAGTAGTCCGTATCAGTGTGCGCTCAATGTTTCAGCATCGGTATGGGAAAGTAAAGCCACCTCTAGCCCTGAGGGTTATCAGTCATCACAGATTCTTTAAAGAGGAACTGAAGCTGTTAACCCAGACGGGTTTGCTTTGATGCCTTGCACCCTTTTCTCTGCTTCTGTGTTTCTCTTTAGTCCTTCTTGCCCCTTCTCTGCCTGTCTGTGTGTAACCGTGTCTCACTGCTCTCCCGTTCCTGTCTGACTTTAGAAAAATCGCGTGCATCAGCAGCTGCATGAGCATCTCCAGGATGCCATGTCCTTCTTAAAGGATGTCTGCGAGGTATTCCTGCTCTTTACCTGCCGTTTCCGTTCATCACACTCTCTTCCTTCCACCCTTCTTTTCCCTTTTCTTTCCACAGGCTTTGTTTAAATCCTGTGTTTTTTTTATTGTTTTGTTTGTTCCAAGTCATTTCTTCCAGCGTTTTTTTTGTTTTTGTTTTTTTTGCTTGAGGTAATCAGCACTCCTAAAAATAAAGGTGCCAAAAGGGGTTCTTTGGAGCGATGCCATAAGAGAACCACTTTTGGTTTTCCTAAAGCAGTGGTTCTCAAACCAGCCTTCAGGGAGACTCAGACAGTCTGTTTCTGCTTGATCCCAGCTCCCAGCTCATAGGTATAGAGCAAAAATGCAGGATCCATTGCACCTTTTTAAAGTTTAAAGAACCTCCATATAGTGAAAAGGTTCTAATTCTGCTGTTTAATAATACAGAATTTTCCAAGAACTGTACCTTCATTTAGGAGCCTTTATTTTAGGAATGTATCTAAAAGCCTTAATGGTCAAAAAGTAGTCGTGTCGTTTGCTAAAAGTTTCCAGACTTTCATATGTGTGTCCTGCAGGAGACCTCGAGATGCATGCGTGTTTTTCATCGCGTCACGCGTCTTCTATTCTTCAGTTTTGTGCCATGTCTGCATTTTCCCCCCCTTGAAGCTTTCTTTTGTCATAAATAGTAACTTTTCACCTTTGTTTCCTTCTTTTTGGGAACATTCTTATATTAACCTGCTCTCTCCTTCTCTTCTCCCTCGGCCTCTTCTTTCTCTCCCTTTGTATATCTTCCTTTCTCTCCAGTCTCGGATGGAGGATCGTCTGGACAGGCTAGATGATGCGATCCATGTCCTCCGGAACCACGCCGTGGGCTCCACCGCTTCTCTGCCCAGCGACATCCACAGCCTGCTGGGTCAGGCGCACAACGGGCCAATCGCAGCCATCGGCTCCAGCTTCCCCACGTCCGGATTGGTTGCCAGCAGGACAGCATCTATGGTAACAATCGCCTTGTTTTTTACTCTGGGAAACAATAACTTAATTGTTTCAGAGCTTTCTCTGATGTCTTTTTTTTTCTTCTTCTTTTTTATTTCTGCCAAGTTCAAAGTCCCCCCGTCAATCACTAGCAGTTGTTTAAACTAAATTGAAGCAAATCAGCTAAATATGTCCACTTTTGAGTCAGCTGGGGAGAGAAAAAGAGCGAGACAGGGAAAGGCATGCACTTTTTTCATTACGCTTCTCCAAATAGGCTAATAAACAAGGCAGAGCCACCTGTTTAAAATGAAGCCTCGGCCATGTGCTGAAACGGAACCATTTTCCACAGAGGGCCGTTTAACTTAAACCCGCATACTTTCCATATGCGTAATGGCTGGCCCACGGCTGCCTCGCTCGCTTTCTTTCTGCCTTCTCGCGATCGACTCGGTGGGATTGGATGAGAAAAGCAGGCTGTAGTTGAGCTCTGCCCTGGAAAAGTCCGTTGCGCTGCGGGCCGGTCAGGGACTCGGCCTGTGGGGCTGTGGGGCTCGCTGTGAGCTTCGTCAAAACGGGGCCTGTGAGCTTGCTCTGCTCTATATTAGCACAAGCGTTCCCCCCACAAAAAAGACAAGCACAGCTGTAGGGGAAGAAACAACAGAGGCAAGTGTTTTCCCATTAATCCCCCTGCGGTAGGAAATAATCCAGGCCATATTTTTTAACTTCTCCTTATAAAATGCCTGCATTCGTCTCGGGAAGGATAGCAATGTTGATTAATATTCTCACAACGGAATTCCCTCTAAAAGCAATTCATTATGCTAGGGAATAACTTACATAACATAAGTTCCATCTTACTGTCGTAGAAATGTAGTGCTTGAAAAGTTTACCCTTTATTGCTCATTTTACATATTACAGGCAGTCATCATCTTTAGCAGCGACAGATTTTTCTGTGTGCAGAGATATGCTAAAGCATTAGTCATTCACTTGCACAATCTTAAATGTCAGGGTTACTTCCACATGCCTTGTGCGCTGATATAATCACTGCATACGAGCCGGCTAATCAGTCTGAAACATTCTGACTAGGACTATAAATCTTGCAACGTTTAGATTATATTACGATTCTTTAGAAAACTATTCAGTACATCACAAAATCTCAAATTTCACTGTGACTTGATTTGAAAAATACACTGAATAGACTTCAAAAAACAATTCAAGCTTTTTTATCAGAATTTTTATTTTGCAGAAACAGTCTGAGAATGTTGTTTATGCTGAGAAATGTGCATATAATTATCATAAACAGTATTATAATAATATAATTATATTATCATAATATTATCACAATCAATTACTATTATAGATCATACTTCACATTTTAATGCACAATTACTGTTTGTTTGCTGGGGAAAACGTAAAACTGTGCAAATGTTATTGTACACTTTAGATTTTATGCTTTTCTAGTATGTTAAGCTCAACTAAACATAGAAATTGTGCACTTAAATTCAAAGAAAAATATCGTATTTAATTTGATGTTTTCACTTTCACAAATTTTTTAATTTGATGATGTATTTTCACTTAGAAAATCAACTAAACGTAATTTGACCAGATGTGTTCAAACATAAAACTGTGTATAACCTCACAAGTATGAAAACAAAGTGTGTGCGTGTTTGTAACAGAAGCAGAGTGTGAGAGTGCAGTGTGGCTTGGTGACAGAGCTATACTGTGTTTGTGTGATGACCCTCTTTATGTCCCTGTAAGAAGGCGTCTGTGTCAAGGCCGTCAGTGAACTACTGTGTTCTTACATACGCCAACAGTGTTCTCCCTTTAAGACTTGCACAGTCCAAGACAGCACCCTGATTCAGCACGGCTACTACACATGCCTTTATTTTGGCAGCCTTTTCGTCTCTCTCTCCCTCTCTCTTTCTCTCTCTCTGTCTTCTGTTCCTTAACAAATCAGGAAATCTGATGCCTCAGACTAGTGTGTGTGGTGTGTTTGTGTGTGACTGAAGTCCTCAGCTGTATGGTAATCGAGCCCGTTGAGGAAAATGGCCGCCTTCTTCGGGTGGCACCCCCCTCATGCTCCTCCTCCAGCCCAGACAAAGACTTGTTTGGACACCTGTTGAGAGCGGTGCTGAGATTAGTGTGCGGCGGTGGGGGAAGGCAGGGGGTCGGTGGGGTTAACAGAGGCCAACAGTGACTTAGGATCGCATTCCTAAAGGAAATGGGTGGAAAAGACACTCTCCTTCCACTCTTTCCTTCCATCTCTCGCTTCTAGAGCTGGAAAAAATAGTATTATTGCTTTTTTTTTGTTTAGTTAAGCATCTACAATAGTTTTATTTAAATATACTCTCACACACTTTAAGACAGATAGTTGTGCTTAATTAAAATTACAGTCTGCTGGTGCTGTTTGAAAACCAAGAAAGTAGAAACAGTTCAGAAACAGCCACACTGGATTGAAATCTTCATGAATAAAATGCAAATATTATGAAATAGTCTGACCTGTTTATGTGAGGTTGAGTCTCTCTTCAGCCTGGGGATCTTTATCCATCGGTTTCGTATTAGCGTGATTAGATATTCAACAGATTGTTTACCGAGGTTACGGCGCTTGGAATGCTGGCACTGCCCTGCTTATGCTTGTGCTGGTCAGCTATTGCAGGTAGCATGGCCTGCATTATTTTGACCAAATTAATGTACTTTTGTTGGACTTCACGACTATCTCGATTCATCAACCCTCCCACAGAAACTCCTCAGCAGATGTGATTGGGTAGGATGCTTAAAGTGCACCATAAAAACACTGTGATCGGTGCATATTTCAGCATTCTGCAGATGTCAGTATTGCAGAGGCCATTTGCGATGATAATTAAATAACAATGTATTGTGCAGCCTTAGTTGCCTCTCAGAAGGGAGAAAGTATCGCAGGGGAGAATGTGTGTCTGTCTGCAGCTCAGGAGGGAAATGCCTCTGGCCTTTCAGAGTCCCTGAGGGAGAAAAGTAGCAGAGAGCCTGAGGGAAAACACTCTCCGCTCTCTTGGCAAGTGCTGGATCAGAATCAGATCCGTGTGAACCTGGGGTGTAAAAGGACATGATCAGAAGGTGCATCACGTCTGATTGTAATAATATTCCATACCATATGCAACACAATGTATGGCAAGAATAAATAGTTCCTCCAGTCACTTTTGTGAGTTCAGTGTATTTTTAAAAATAAACTGTAAGAAAGTTAATTAAATGAAAATGACCGTTCTTGATTTTATTTCAAAATTTCTGCATAATTCAATCACTAAGATGTAAACAAAGTCATTTAGTGGTTTGATGTGAAATGCTGTGTTCTAGAGAAACTTATCATCTTAGATTTCTTTACAGTGGTGGTGAGAGGAACCGGGGAATATATGCAGTGCAAATATAGCCATTTTATTTATTATCCAAAACCACCAGTGAACCTACACGTCTTCTGAGTTTATCATGTAATGAGTTTATTATGAATAGTTTTTTAAAAAGGCATTGGACGCCAAAATCTTATCTCAAAACGATCGGAAGACGATGTCTCAGACATCAGGCAGCAAGCATATTCATAACCTATTAGGATAACTTTTTGTGAGGGAGCTTTTAGAAGCATTAAACCCTTCAGACGTCTGGTTCCCATCAGCACCACTGTAAATAATTCTGACTCTTCAAGTTTCCTTACAATAAAGCACTTTACATCAAACCACTCTGAATGAATTTGTTTTTAATGAAATGATTTTATTGTTTAGAAATGTTGAACAAATTTGTACAAATTCCCTATTAAATGTTCAAAAAACAATAAAACTGAATCTTTGTGAAATGTGAGATTTCATGGTGCACTGAAAAATTTCTGAAACCTGCAAACGGCAGTGCAACACTAAAGCTTGCTGCTCTGTTTGGCCAAAATGGGTTTCAGATGTCTGGTTATAGAATGACAAGGATTCATTTGCACTCTGTTCATCAATGTTCGGCGTAATGCTTCAGTTTCAGTGTTAGTCTGCTGTTCATTCTTTTGCAGTTTTTGCAAAATAATTTTTTAAATTCCGTTTCTGACCATAGGAGATGTTCACAGTCACTCAAAACAATTAATATAAACTAGTTTTACAGCATGCTTTCTTTAAGGGAGCGAGTTGCTGGCTATTTGTTCTGTAAAGCTGGTGAAAACACCTCTATATCCTTATGAAGCATCTATTGAAGATGATATATACATGTAAGGCGTCATGTATACAATCCTTACATATATTCATGATGATTGAGAATAAAACACAACAAAGCCCCAAAGGCTTATTTCCATTGTGGTTCTCTAAAAAAAAATAAAAAAAAAGATGTAAAGATGACAGTTTGTAAAAAGTCCCGAGGCTGCAGAGGTCGTTCTTTGTACCGTGAGAAGTGCTCAGTTCTTCAGAGACGAGGTCAGGCGCTACAGTAGGAACAGAGAGCCTCCTCAGGCTTTGAAGTGAAGGCTCGGACGCTGTGAATTGCTCTTTGGTTTTAATGTAAATGGTTTTTGTTCTCTGGCCGCTGATCAGATCACTGTGATCAGAGAGGCTCTTGATGTTGGAGTTCTGTTCTCTGGCTCGTGTTCTCACGTCGATGTGTTGTGACAGGGCCCTGCTCACCGCGAGGAAGCCGTCAGCCTCAACTCTAACCACACGGGACTGCAGAGCAGCGCCGGTCCAGCCTCCAGCACTGAGCTCAACCACCAGGCCGACACCTTCAGAGGTGCCATTCTCTCACTTTTTCTCTCTGATTGACACTCTCGTTGAAACCAAGAAATTTCACATTTAGTGCTTATATACAGTACTGTTCTTAAGTTTGGCATCGCTTGTTGTATTAATAATTCCAGTTATTTTATTCAGTAGCAACTGAAATAATATAAGATAGACACCAGAAGGTCTTTTAAGATGTTTTATTCAGTATTTTAAGTTTTTAGGAACAGCAAGATGTTATTAAATGATACATTATGTACTCTAATTATTGACAGTAATGCCTGGATATGAGGTTTTGATCCCTGTATGAGGCATTCTGGATGTTAATTTTATTGTATCTTTACTCTCAATTTCTAGAAATCAGTTAAAATGTGAAGTATTAGTATCTGCATAATTTCAGTTTATACAAAATAGGTTTTATATTAATGAAAACAGTGATTTTCAAACTTTTGAATGGTAGTTTATATGCTGTTAGCAGGTATGCTCGGACTACAACTAACTGTAATTTTTATAATTTATAGCATTTTAGCAAGCTAAGGCTGATTAACCCATAATCTATATCTGATTAATCAACTAATCAAACAATTGTGTCTCCTTTCTCTTTACCACTGTTATCATTCGAAATTACGTCTGTATGCAAAGTAATTTCCTCTGGCGCAACAAAACAGCCAAAGCCGAATCGCCCCCTATATTTCTTGTAGCGTATTGCAGTCTTTCAGAGTGGCTGTGTATCTTTTTTTTTTTCTCAAAATCACCATCTTATCAGTGAAGCTGGACAGCACGCTGTATGTTGCCATGAGAATTTAATATATCTCACCTGTAGCACGGCAAATGATAACTGGTGAGGTATGCTTACTGTACGAACGCAGGCCTTGCTGGTGGACTGGCAAATCAGGTGGCACCTGCTCTGGATCTTAAGATCGAAGATCAGGACAAAGATGACATGCACGACAGCCACTCCTCTGAAAACCTCAAATCAGATGACGAGAGTGACAAAAGGGACATCAAAACACCCAGAGGAGGCACTCGAACAAGGTAAGGTCCACTCACACAGGAGCTTCCCAACTCAAAAACATGAACATGTGTATGAGTAATGTTGTATAACTTGTTGGCCATTTTAAAATATCCTAATTTGCCAGGCCACCACTGTAAATAAGAATTTGTTTTTAATGGTCTGCTTGGTTAAATTGAAGATTAAAATATATGTGTATGTTATGTGGGAGGTGTTTAGGTTTTCATTTTTTGCACATTTGAAAAATTGTCCTTTACATCATGTGAACATGTCATTATGACTGTACCATCAGCAGAAACGGGTCCAAAATAAGTTTTATAAAGTTACAGTTTCATAGATGCAAGAATTTCTTCATTCATTTGCTTGTATTAGATACTTGCCTTGGTTCATTTTCATGTTTTTCATGATTAGTGGCAGTTATATATAATATGTGTGTGTGTGTATATAAAACTGTGGGAGGCTGACTTTAGCATGTGTTCTTCTTGCCCTCCACAGTAGCATTAATGAGGATGAGGATCTGAACCCGGAGCAGAAGGCGGAGCGCGAGCGCGAGAGGAGGATGGCCAATAACGCGCGAGAGAGGCTGCGAGTGAGAGACATCAACGAGGCATTTAAGGAGCTTGGCCGTATGTGCCAGCTGCACCTGAAGAGCGAGAAGCCCCAGACCAAACTCCTCATCCTGCACCAGGCCGTCGCAGTCATCCTCAGCCTGGAGCAGCAAGTCAGGGGTCAGCCACTCTCCACTTCACTGTATACTGCAAAAATACAAAGTCCCCCTTGCAGACTGTGCATCATCAGTGTTTTTATCGTTGCTTGGTAGCCTTAATAAAACTTCTATATCAAGTCCGGACTGTCACAGTACCAGAATGTTGACTTCAGAACGGATAACGGATTTTGTATTAGTGTGATATTTGAAGGCAGGGGTCGGGACATATTGAGGGAGTACAACACAAGTTTAAATAGAATGTAAAGCCCAACTTTCTTGTGTTCCTTTCATTCACTCAGAGCGGAACCTGAACCCCAAAGCGGCCTGCCTTAAGCGGCGAGAGGAGGAGAAGGTGTCTGGTGTTTCGGGGGAGCCCCAGCAGACTCACCCCTCCATTCACCCCGGCCTGACAGACACATCCAACCCCATGGGCCATCTGTGAGCACTCTACAGGTGAGCGAGCTGTGTGGAAGCAGGACAAACAGAGATACAATGGAGTTATTGTTCAAGTCAGCAGGCATCAAAGAACAATGATAAAGAAAACACAACCGTAGGATTTATATATTATATAAAATACAATAAATAGGTAATATACCATAAATTCAGACAGTCAGGCAAGCTTTCAGTGCACAAAGAATACACCATAATTGTAGACTATGAAATATAATGTTAACATATACACTATATTCAGACAATATTTCAACCAGGCAGTGTGCAAAACAGCGTACAGTTATTCTTTAATATACAGTGTACATGTAGGATTCGCTATTTTCAGACAATATTGCGTTTAGGCAAGTTTTCAGCGCAGATACAATATACAGTAATGATCACAGTAATAGACCAGACAAGTTTCCGATGCACAAAGAAAATAACACAGTAGTATAGTCAGTAATATACAACATACAGCTGTATGCAAGAGTTTGAACACCACCACTCAAATTACACATAAATATGGCATAAAATACAAAATGTGTTATAACTTTTGCACAGAACACATTTTATGTTTTTATGTTAAATTCAGCAAATAACCAGTAATTGTGTATTAAAATGTGTAGAAGTGTGTTCTCTATAGAGGGTGTGTACTTTTTATTACTTTCAAAACCAACAAAACACATGTAATTTGACAAATGACGTCTAAACTGACATATCATCACTGCCCAAAGTAAAAACATGTATCTTATTTATTTTATTTTTTTGTGTGTGATTTTCACTTTTCTGCATCATTTGAGCACAGCAGCCATTCTTTACATTGTGTGAAAATGTTTTGATCAACGGACAAATAAAAATTCCCAAAAATTGCTTAGAAAAAAAATCTTTTTCCATTGACTTGCATTAAAAGTAAAGAACATTTTTGCCCTCTCCTGTAAACTTACTGTGTTGGAGATGATTGTTTTTCTTTGGACGGTGACTATATGAATTAAATATACATGGATTCAGAGAATATTCCATCTGAGCAAGTTTTATATACAGGTAATATACACAATATTCATCACAATGTTCAATATTCTGTCTTTCTAGACTAACATAGCCTTGGCGGCAGATTTCAACCTTGCTAGTGTCCCCTGAAGCACAGCACTCCTGTACACTCATTGTGTAGAAATGTCAGCAGTGTTTAGAACTTCTGTACTGGTTTAATCAGCAACTCTACATCATTCGTTTTAAAATCATTCTATATGGAATGCATAATTTACAGTGTGCACCATAAAAGTGAAGGTCAAGTTGAAAAATAGTAGATTTGCTCTGTCAGACCGTGTCCTTCATTATAAATACTCATTTGATGTTTTTTTCATTTGAACTTTCAGATCAAAGTGATGCAGAGGGAGTCTGTAAGATAGCGTCGGTGACCTTGCTTTCCAAGGGCAGACAGGACTCACAGCTTGTGACACAAATTTGAAAAGACAGAGACCACTCGAAGCGAAATTCCACGGTCAGGCAATCCTGAGCTCGAAGAAAACTGGCAAGCGCCAAACTTCCTCAGAAGACATCCGACATTGTTCAGCAAATTTCTGCCCAAGAGAAACACACAAACAAAAAGCCCTTCAGCACATATCACTGTCTGCAAGCAGTGTGTCACATCTGTACAATCAGAGACTGTCGCGGTCCCCTCCACGTGGAAGTTGCCTTGTGCCTAAACTGAATTGACGAATGCATTGTAACAGCAATTCTTTTTTTTTTGTTGTTGTTTTTTTTATGTTTGTTTGTTTTGATTTTTTTCTATTTATTATGTTACTGAGCTATAAAGTCTATGTTTAAAGGGAAAGTTATGACATTGCTTTGAAAAGCCGGTGGTATTTCAGTAGATCTTCAGTTTGCCAGGGTTTCAGCTCAGGAGCTAAACGCCAATCTCCGGCCATCCGCTCCTCGCGTTTACACCGTTTTCACCCAACTCGGATGCTCGAAATCTTATCTGTGGCAATTTTAAATGATCAGAGTCTCAAGGCCCCGCCCCTTTTTGTCTAGAAAAATAAAAAAATAAGAAGAAATAATATATTATTTATATTTATGTTAGATTCATTCCACGAGTAACAGCATGACGAACCAAAACTACCTAAATGACATGTTGTCGAGTGTTGCTGAGACTCCAGGCCGCAGCCTTGAACGGAAGCAGAGTGGAGCGGAAAAAAATGCAGAAAACGGGTGCGTTTCTGCTCCGGCGTGGCAAACTCCAGCTTTACTGAAAGGTCTAAGGTCACCTGCAGGCTGACATGTTTATAGTCATTAGTAAAGCAGTTCAAATACAGAGAGCAGACCAGTTACTAAACCCTAGCATTCCTCGCATACTTCATAGTGTCTTAACCGAAGGAAAAGAGGGGCGTCGTCTTGTCCTTTTAATTCCTTTGCCATAATAGTGTTAAAGTGGAAAGAAAATGGCATTTTTCCATTTACTGCAGTTTCTTTGTTTTTGTTTTTGTTTTGTTTTTTCCTGATGTTACATTATTTTGGTCTCTGCAGCAGCGGTGGTCATGCTTTTTGGCGCGTCTGCGCTCAGGACCCTCCTTCTGCGCTTTAGCCTAAAGCTGAGGAATTAGACATTTAGCTGTGTCGGAGACGAGAGAGTAGATTGGAAACGATGACCACAACATCACCTGGCCTGAATTGAAGTTTTGCTTTATTTTCTTTCTGTCGAAAACCATTAACATTTAAGAAAAAAAGAACAAAAAAAAGAAAACCACAAAAAAATCATTACTCTAAGTAACCACGTTATATGTTTATTTGTAATTGCATACAAAGCATCTCTAGGCTTCATAGTAAAGCGTATATTGTCGTGTGAAAATAGAAGAAAGATATTCTAAGTTACTTAGGATGGCTTTGTCTCTCCTTCCCCCCCAAAGCGTTGAAGTACTTGATAACAGTGATCAGCAGAGTGAGAGTGCAGTGTCTGTCATACGAGAAAGAAAGAAAGAAAGAAGCTCTATGAATTCAAACGCTGTGACAAAACGCAACAACAATAACCGACTGCACTCTTAAAAATAAAGGTGCCACAAAGGGTTCTTCACCCACGCAAGAGCCACTTTTGGTCCCTTAAAAACGTGGATGCTTCTTCACAGAGCCACTTTTGTAAAGAACCTATTTAAAGTTTTAAAAACCCCCACACAAGGTTCTGGAGAGAACTCTAAAACTGGTACCCTCTTGAAAATAAAGGTGCCAGGAAGAACCTCTTTTAGTTCCCTTAAAAACGTCCAGTGGATGCTTCTGTACAGAACCTTTCAAGAACCTCCACAAGTTCTAGGAAGACCCCTTAAACTGTTGCACTCTTAAAAGTGAATGTGCCAAGAAATGTTCTTCCCCCACAGAAGAACCACTTTTGGCTCCCTAAAGAACCTTTCAAAGGAGCGATAATGAAATATGCGAATGTATAGAACCTTTTAACGGTTCAGAGATCCTCCGCATAATGCAAAGGTTCTAGGAAGAACCTAAATTCGTAAGCAGTATTCTTTGAACTTGGTTCTTTAGGGAACCAAAAGTCTTTTTTTCTGTGGGTTCACACTGTGAGAAACTTTTGGCACAGGGTACCAGTTTAAGGGTTCTTCCTAGAACTTTAAGAAGTTCTACGGAAAGGATTCTAGAACACTTACATTTACATTATGTGTAGGATCTTTAAACCTTTAAATGGTTATTGTCTATCAGTTCGGAGTTTTAGGCATGGTTCTTTGGGGAGGCAAAAGTGGTTCTTCTGTAGGATCACGCTGTGAGAAATGCTGTGTTTTACCAGTGTAAGGGTTCTTCCTAGAACTTAACCTGAACTTTAAAAAGGAGTATAGAACATTTACATGATGTGATGGTTCTTTAAACCTTTAAAGGGTTATTTGTGATCAGTTCTGTGTTTCAGGCATGGTTCTTTGGGGAAGCGAAAGTGGTTCTGCCATGGCACAAAAGAACCCTTTGTAGAACTTTTATTTTGTTTTTAAGAGTGTAAACAAAACGATGAACAAACACCAGATTTTTTTTTGTCTGTTTTCTTATCAGGATTCACATCTTCATTTTTTTTCCTTTTGAAACTATTTGTGGTCTTAATTCTTTCTTTAGCTCGTTTTCTTCCCCGTCTGTTGTCTTCCATGCATGCTCACCCTCCACACAACAAAAGCTGCCACGTTAGAATGACAGTCTAAAGAACAAACACGGACGACGAATAACAGATTTCTATTCGCTCCTTTGTTTTTTTGTTTTCTTTTTTCCTTTCTTTTCTTTGTGGAAAGTCTCTCCCTTTTACTCTCCCTGTGATATCCACTAGTCTTTGTGGCCTTGTCATACATTTCAGTATTCACGAGCTTGTGTTGTTGCTGGCTGAAGTTGATCGAGGTTGTGTCATCTCTTTGTCTGTTCTGTTTTTTTCTGCTTTTCATTTTTCCGCGTTTTTTGTTTTTTTTCTGTTCCTTCGCTCCTCTGTTGGATATGTTAGTCTTTGCCGTATGCCCTGATGCTTTCCCTCATAAGAAGAAGAAAAAAAAGTATATGAAAAGGATAAAAAAAAAACATTTGGCTTATTTTTCACTGTAGTTAGCCTTTTATACAATAATATTGTAAGAACATTTCTTGAATTCTAAATATTACTCTTTCTAGATTTTTGAAATCAAAAAGTTTTGAGTAAAAAGTTTCTTACTTTATTTTACTATATTAGATAGTAAAAAAAAATGTACGGTTATTTACCATAACCTGTCCATTATTATTATCAGAAAAACGATAGCATCTTAAGAACATGAAGTAGGATTGTAGCTCGAGGTGTAGTGCGTATGGGGTATCGTACGAGCTCGATGTTCTCTAGGATGTGTTCTCCTTCTCTCTTTCTAGTCTGCATTGTTGGTTGAATAAAAGATTTGAGATTTGTACCCCTGTCCAAATCCAAGGTATTGTCGATGCACATCAGAAATAAAAGAAAACCAGCAGCAAGAAGTCAAACTCTTTTTTTTTGTTTCTGTCTCTGTAACAGAAAACACAATATGTATATAACATTTATGTAGCAATAAATGTGCCATCTTTTTTAACGAGACTGTATGTGCGTTTATTTCCTTCTCCACGTTTCTCCTCTCTGTCATTGCAGTGCTATTGATTTGTCGAACATTGTAAGTTCATTGAGCTCGTGTACAAAAAAAAAACAAGAACAGGCAAAACAAACAAAAAACAAATGTATTCCAGTGAATGGGCTTCTCACGTCTGCAGTCCTGCCACAGCGTCTCCTCTTTAGAAGACTTTTCTACAGTGGATTTAGGCCAAATGAAGAACTCTGTGCAAGAGTGTGTTTTATACTATGTAACTCATTTTTTTGAAGGCATATCAGTGGACCATTGTAGTCTGTATCGAAAAAGAAGTACTATGGAACATATGTTTCTATTTTTAATAAAGTGTGATAGCAGTACGCTCGCATCTAGTCCCCTTGTTTTGAAGTGTGTGTCTCTCGTTGTGTTTGTTCGGTGCGTATAGTCTTGTGTTATTTATGTTTGTTGGTCGAGTTCCACGAGCTTTTGGCGGTTCTTCAGACGTTCTGTGTGAAAAGTTCAACATCTGTCTTTAACTTGACTGAAAGGCATCGTCTTCACTGAGACACAAATGGATCCGGAGGAAAAGCTTTGTCCACAGTTTAGAATCATTCTTTCCTTAAATGTGGCTAATTTTCTTTTCTATGTTTGTTTATTTTTGTTTTTTGATGCCAATATGAACTAAAACAGGTTATTATTATTATTATTATTATTATTATCATTATCATCATTGTGATATGGGCTAAAAAGGACAAATTAACCATTTATTTATTGAATTTTAAGTGTTAAATGGAAATTCCACCTGTATAATTAGATGGTTAAGATGTAAACAAAGTCATTCACAGTGGTTTGATGTGAAGTTTTCTGGAGTCAGAATTGTTTACAGTAGTTGTGATAGGAACCAGACGTCCGAAGCGTCTAAATGCTTTTAAAAATGACTTCACAGGAAGAGATGGTTATGAGTATGTTGTCTAATGCCCGGGTATGTTAGTTTTGAGAACAGGCTTATGCCTGAACCTTTTGCTTTTTAAAAATCTACTCCTGCTGGAGGGATACATGCAGGCAAAACAGCCCCCAACAAATCTCACTTGTTCTGATTTACCACCATTTCACTATCATCATTACACATAAACACTCATAAGACACCTGTAGGTCCACATGTCATTTTGAATAGCAAAAAAAATGGCTATATTTGTGTTGTAGACACTGTGACTGCTGATCTCTGTTACCCGTTACTGCAAAGAAATCTGACGGTATTTCTCTCCAATGAGCCGTTTCACATCAAACCACTCTGAATGACTTTGTTTATATCTCAACACTTGAATTATGCAGACTTTTTGGAAAAAATGATTGGAGTTAAACACAAAATCTCACAGAGCTGTTAAAATTGTGTTTGCGGGAGCAGCCAATAGGAGGCCGCCTCTCATTTTTTCAGCTCATCTGTGCATGTTTGTGCAGTGACATCAGTCCTGGCTGTCCAATTAAAAGACTAAACTAAAGCCCAGTGCTCGTCTCGCAGGCCCAGCACATCTGCCTCGCATTATCTTCCTGTACATGTGTGAGCGTGAGACGATTCCTCATCGGGACGCGTCCCACGCTGACAGGTTCGATCGCGGCAGCGCTCAGGAGAACTTCACTGACTGCTGTGTGCTCTGTAGCCAATTCAGTAAAACACTGGAAGCCTCAGAGTCCTGTTATAATCCCACCACTACACCTCATCTGGCCTCAGGCTGCTGCTCCGAGTGGGTGGGACTGTTTTGTCCCATTTCCTCTCGGAGTTGTGTGGGAGTGCATTTGTGAGACTGATTGGAAGTGTGTGTGTGTATGTGTGTGTGTTCCTTCCTGACTTTATCGTGCCCTCGAGTGTTTACTTGCGGTCACCTAGAAAAACAGGCATGTTTCGTGTGAGGGGGAGACCACCATGTTTGAGGCTGATTTTCCCCTGTCTGCCTGCCTTGGCTGTCACTTTGGCTCTTGTTTGCTGGAGTCCGATCAAAAGCTGCCATGCTTAGAGAGCATAACCTCACCGGTCAGCCTGTTGATTATTGCTGTTGGCTGGACGTTCCATGCCCTCAGTCTACATTTGTGTACTTCAGAAAACAATCAGTTCTTTTGAAATATATACTTAAAACAGATTTCCTACAGAAAGGCACTGATGCAAAAAACAAAGTTAGACTGCTGCAGTAGTCTTTATGTGAGAATATTGCTGAATATATACAGGTTTAGAAGCTCATCTGTTGTTTAAATTAACTTTATATTAGAATATTGAAAACCATACATGAGATTATAAATAAAAATGTATTATTTATACCAGAATATATCATCACTGTCCAAAAAAATCTCCAGAACTGGATCTTCACAGAAGAAGGCAAAAACCTTCTTAACCTTTTAATGCAACAGGGCTTTATTCTAAGTAATACAAATGATCAGCCCTGCCTCTTCCTTGTTCATCATAAGGGCCACTGTAGGACCACTCCTATTGGTCCATACATCATGAAATGCTCACACAATGTAAAGGGCAGCCGCTGTGCACAAATGATGTAGAAAATAAAAACAGATATATTTGATATGACAGCAACAATATATGACATGTTATATGTAAGTTTTCTACTTGAAGAGACAATTTGGACAAAATATAAATTTTAACCATCACTACATTTGTTGTAAACATGGCTACTCACCTCTTGCAGTGACGCCTCTATGTATAAGAAAACCTCCTTCTGATGATCTTAAAGGTGGAAAACTACGACCACTGTGGTGCAGATACTTGACGCTGAGCTGTTTAAAATGTTTTTTTTCCACTAGCTGACTAACGCAAAAGGATGCCAGGCATCACATCTGTATATATAAGCCTCCATACTAGCAGTCAGGATTTATTCATCACTGGGGGCCCATCTTCCAAAGGTTGTATGACATATTTGCGTAATGAATGCTGGGTATTGTAGTAAGAGAACAATGGAAGGACGAAAACTATGGAAGTCCAGAGAGGCCATGAGCTGTTGCTATGATTTTCTGGATTGTTATCCTGAGATAACAAGTTAACTACCTTGTGATCTTTGTTATCTTGAGATCACAAGATAATTAACTTGTTATCTCAATATAACAATATAACTTTTTTATCTTGAGATCACAGGATAGTTAAGTCATTATCTCAAGATAACTATGTTCAGATCACAAGATAATACATTATCTCAATATAACAATTTAACAATATAGCAACTTTGTTATCTTGAGATCACAAGATAATTAACTCATTATCTCAAGACAACATTGGCATCTTGAGATCACAGGATAGCTAAGTCATTATCTCAAGACAACTTTGTTATCTTGAGATCACAATATAGTTAACTTGTTATCTCAATATAACCAATTTGTTATCTAGGGATCACAAGAAAGTTAATTTGCTATCTCAAGATAACAACTTTGTTATCTTGAGGTCACAAGATGGTTAACTCATTATCTCAATATAACAACCCAGAATGTAACTACCTCATGGCCTCTCCGGGCTTCCGTAGAAAACAAAACGGATACAAAGTCTTGAATTCTGTCGAAATAATTGAGCAGCACTACAGAATATATTACATGACAAGACAAACAGCAAACTGAACGCTAGTTTATGTTGAAATGCTCCTTTAAGTTTGACTACATATACAATTTCTACTAAAGCTGAAGACATTTTGACCTCCAGGTCTACTAGTGTACACGCCAGCTGCTTTGACAAAATGCAAAATGCTGTAAAGAATGTCGCTCTGGACATACAGCACTGTGCAAAAGTCAGAGACCAGCCTTCATTTACTTAATTTCCAGTCAAAACAGCAAATAAGTAAGTTATTAATTTTTCAGCATCAGAAAAAAGATGAAATGACCCAGAAACAACATATACATTTTTTCAGTAGTTCATAGTTTCAGTGTCCACTTTTGGTCTTCATTACAGCATCCATTCTTTTAGGAGGTACATTTTTCAGCTTTTCAAACTAATATGTAGAGATACTTTTCCTCCAGCGCTTAGTTTTAATAGCTGTTTCTGCATTTTCTGCCTCTTACAATCCAAATAATCCCAAACACATTCAAGTGATGTTGAGGTCTGGACTCTGGGGTGGTCTGTCCATTTTTCAGCTTCTTTGTTTGATGTGTCCGTCTCCTTTTCTCAGTGAGGTTCTTCTTGACAGCTACACATCCTTTCAGACCCATAGCGCTGAGTTGTCTTCTCACAGTGGAAGGATGGACAGATACACCTGTGGATGTTTTCAGATCTGAAGCAGCTTGATTTTCTCCTCTCTCTCAAAGACGAAAGCGTTAAGTGCTGTTTATCTGGTGGGGCAGTTTTGGTGTCTTACCAGGTCTTGCAGCTCCACATTAGAGATATATAAAAAAAATTAATCTGAAAAATTCATAACTTGGCTGTTCTGGCTGCAAGTTGAATAAAAGAAAAGTGGTCTCTGACTTTTGCACAGTACTGTAAGATTTCTAGTTGTATGCCCCATTTTGCCAGTGTTTGCTGACCATGAGGCCCTGCAGTTACCCATCAATGACAAAATGGTTGGTCACACTTGAGTTACACATTATAAAACAAACTCATGCTAAGCCTGCACAGATCCAGAAGGCCAAGAAGAATGAGTTCTGTTTACCACGTGCTGCCAGCTAATGGGGTTTCTTCACCCTCAGATTTCCTCATGGGCCTTTCGTCTGTCCAAATGGAGATGCACACTGCCCTCTGCTGGACACTTTCTGTCTGAGCGTTTGAGCCATGAACAGAGCTTCTATTGTACACTCCTGTAACTTGACCCAGCACTAGAATTCATATACAAACCGAAGTCCAACTCTCAGACACACACATACACACAGAAATACACTCAGCTGCAAGTTTATTAGAAACACCTGCCTTTTACCTTCACTGCTTGGCCATTTTATCAGAAACACCTACCATGTTGCTGCACTTTGTAGGTTTGTAATTACTGACTGTGGCCCATCTGTTGCCTTAAGCCCCCTTTGCCCTGCCCATCAATGGAAAGGGACCACCATGGACCAGATATTATTTAGAAGGTGGATCATTCTCAGCACAGCAATGCTGTTGGAGTTTTAACACACTGTGTATCACTGCCTCAGTCCTGTAAAATTTCTGGACGCTCGATCAGTAGCTTGATTTTGTACTGAATACAGGCAGCTGCAGTCTAAAGTAGATAGATGTTAGTTCAGCTACAGAACCTAATCTTCTCAGCTATTACACTGAAGGCCTGCCTAGTGCCTCAACATGTCAATCAACAGCGCACTTTTTTCAAACAGCTCTCCCTACACTGAAGGCACTTTGAAAGAAGAAGCAGTTCAAACGTCATAAAAAGTCCTGGACATTTGGTGGAATTATTTTTTTCCTCAACAGGCA